GATAGATAGATAGATAGATAGATAGATAGATAGAGAAAGAGAGGGAAAGAGGGGGAGGGAGAGAGAGAGAGAGAGAGAGAGAGAGAGAGACTGAGAGAGAGAGAGAGAGAGAGAGAGAGAGAGAGAGAGAAAGAGAGAGAAATATTATGGTCATGTAATATAAATCACTACCATCAACGCCAATTCAGCAACAATCACCACCATCATCAGTGTTATCATAACCACCTGCGCAGCAGCAGGGAGAATACACTTGACCATTAACCCTTTTCCCCACTGTGAGTGGGACGACTCAATAAACCCTTTCTCATTGGATTACGAATCTTTTGTTTATCTCGCTAATGGCAAAATGATAAGAAAAAAACCCCGTTGCCTTTAGATAAAAAGATACCAAATAAACAGGAAATGATGCTATTTTTATTTTATTGAAGCAGCTCAAGAATTTTAACTTTTACTTAGACTAATTTTGCTCAATTTGAATGCTTGACCTTGGCAAGTAGTTAACAAGAATATATAGCACGTTAAAAAATATGTTGGTGTTCAATTCATCAATTTGACTTACACGTTTATCAACATGATCTCGAAACGCAGAATAGAGGGAAGAATGTCTTGTTCTTTGTTATGACATATTCTCTACTTAAGACTTGAAATCTTATGGCCTACATTGAAAACATTGGCATGGTATGGGTTAAATTTCCATTTCTTTGCTCTGCTCACAACACTTCATCGTTTGATTTTTACAAGGGCTCTGGCCATTCTGAAACACGTTTATATGTGATACAGCGAACAATGGTTTAGATTAAAACCAAGCGTGCCATTTTTGCTTTGCGAAACCTAGAAAGAAAATATCAATATCTTTACAACAGATTTAGAGATAAATAGCTAAAAAAAAAAACCTTTAACAACTCATTTCTGTAAAGCAAAGTCTATCTTGACCAGGTATCTGCGGGAAAGGGTTCAAATGCCGTTAAATATTTAAGCCAGTTTTATCAATGTCGTGTATTGATGTCTATTAAGTAGGCCATTCGAACATGCTGAACGACTACGAAAAAAACCCTCACATAAATATTACTCGTATCATGATATATTGTTTACATATAATAATGATATACTGTTAAACATGTTTACATAATATTATAATGATATACTGTTTAATATAATAATGATATACTATTTGTTAAACGTCTTACCTGTCTGCCGTTATCGTGAATTTCTCTCGGTGCATCTTTACACCCAACGAGTTCCTCACGACTGTTTGATTCTTTCAACACTATAGAGAAAAAAAAAGAACAAAAGGCTCCCCGAAACGCAATGCAATAATATCCAATTCAGCTGAAGATGTGACGAAATCTGAACGCCTCGAACTGCGCACTCACACTAGTCCAGTCTAGATCTAGTAGTGTCTGTTGAAGAAAGCTTCCGGGAAACGAAGACGTTTCCTGTTGAGTGCTACGGCCTCCAGACATACACTTCCCCAAGCTCATCTCAAGTGGAGCGGGAGAGGGCAGTAAAGCGAAAGTTAGGAACGTTGTGAGGAGACGAATACCTGAACGAAAGGTACAGCTACTTTTGTAAGTGCAGCGTTGGAGTCTGATTAGAGGACTCTTCAACTTATTACTTCTGAAGGATAATTTTAGAGATCAACAAAGCAATTATTTATTTTCTCTAGTCTTTTTCCTATTCGTAATTTTTAGCCGTCTGTGCATTACTTTCATTTTCTCCGCAGTTTATCACGTTCCATACTCGTACATGTGTCTGAGGAAAGGTGTATTTAAGGACATCTGTCTGTCTGTCAGTCTGTTTGTCTTCCTGTCTGTCTGTTTGCCTGTCAGTCTGTCTTCCTATCTGTCTGTTTGTGTGTCTATATCCCCCCTCTCTCTGTCTCCGTCTGTCTGTCTGTCTGTCTGTCTGTTTGTATGTCTGTCCCTCTCTCTCTCTCTCTCTCTCTCT